AACTGGATGGCCGTCATTTGCCTTAACCTGAATAGTTCTCCACATTTCTTTTCGCTTTGATGATGAGCGTTCCTGACCAGGGGTGAGCGATAATATTTTTGTCGGGTGAAGTAGCAATACGTGCCTTGACTACAATAGCCCTTACCAACCCCACCTCATCGCGGGATGTTGGTACATGTGCTTCCGGCTGCTTTGGGTCAAAATGTGCTGACTTGCTATAGGTTGATATGAGGATTTGCGTTGCCAGATTGATAACATGCACGAGACAACTGTTGTTTGTGAGTAACTGAAATCAGAAAGTTTGTGGATCAACGCACTTGATTTTTCTCTTCCTCCAATCATACTTGTTGCCTGTAGTAGTTTTCAGTCGCACGGCAAATTCCTTCATCATGGTTAGGTTGTTGCTTGCATTGTCGCAAGTGACGTGGCCAATCTTCGTAGTGGAGGATAAGCCTGGTGGGACATCAATAAGGTTGCTTCGCTTACCTTGTCCTCAATTCCCAATCGTCTGATGATCTTGAATAAAGCCTGGCCGAGCCGTTCACCATTATGCGCGTTGTTGACCCACGTGAAACCAATTAGGGCGCTCTTGAGTTCCCATTTTCCAGGTGTCAGCTCTTCGATCCAGTGTGCTGTGACAGCGAAATATCCATCTGCATTTCCTGCCTGCCACGCGTCACACGTTAAACTGACTTCGCCTTGAACGGTCGGACCCTGGGAAATGATGAGAAAAGAAAGAAAAATGAAGGGAACACATACATTGAGTTGGGTTTTCAATGTCGTAAGGTGAACCTTGAACATGCGCATGATTTCCGCCCGCGCTGCCTTGCGACCTGGAATCTCGACACCATTTGTTGCGCGAGAAGCAATGTCAATCAACTCCTTGAACTTGGGATGTTCAAGAGCGTAGATTGGCTGTGAAATTATGCAATGAAACAGGAGATTAAGTTGTAAGAACGGACTCCTCACCTGATCCGTAGCCACGAGCCACTCCACCGTTACTCGACGGAAGAGCTTGTCCGAGTAGGGGATGACCCACTCAGAGAGCTTCTCCTGACTAAGATCGCGATCCAAAGTACGTGTCACCTCCTCCGCAGCGGCCTTCCGCTTCTTGATGTCTCCAGGAAGTTTTGACGAGAAGCTGGCACCTTTTGCCCAGTTGCGATACTTGCCCTAAATGGGGGGAAGGATCAGATCAAAAATTGAAAACCAAAAAAAATTAAGCACTGCATGGCATGCCTCCAAATGGCGTCGCAAAGTCGTGACTTCATCAACAATACTCTTATTGCCCCTGGACTTAATATCAGTGTACATGACAAAACGTCAATGCACGAACTCACTGGCATATTTTGCACACACGATACCGTTTTGACTTCCCATTGACTTCTTTGACAACAGCCGTTTGAAAGAAATTATCCACATCTTGACGCTTATCTTCACGCGTGGATGAACTGTCGTTGACTGGCTGGACGTCCACATCCATGAGTAACCCATCCGCGTCGATGGCCTGTGGATTTCCAAGGGTCACACTTTTCTTCTTACCTGAAAGAACATCAGAAAACTAGTCGATGAACATCATCATTCAGAAAAACTATACCCTTGTCACGTAGATCCCCCTCGGTATCCGTCATGTCAACGTCGTCAACTGTAGCTGATATCGCATGTATTCTCTTCGCCTGTGACGTGGTTGTCGTGGCATACTTCTTTTTGACTGAAAAGAATACAACAAATTGAGAAGGTATGCTCAGGACACGAAGATGAGTTAGATGACGTACATCGTGCTGGCTGATCGACAATTCCATCGTCACCATCACTGTTGTGGTCAGCAACAGAAGTGATGTTATGCTTGTTTGGTGGAGTCGGCACTGCACTAGCTGAGGAGGGCGCATTTGGGTCACCGGCCACCGTTGAAGAAGTAGGCGGGTCGTTCTTGTCGGTTTTGTCGGGAGTGGAAATCCAGGACAGCTTTGCGCTGGAAGGAAAGTTGAGGCGTCTCGCTGTTGGCAGCGTCCTTGAGCTTTGCTGTGGGGTTGAGTGTTCGTACTGGGCGAGGTACGTCCACTCGTCTAATAATCACTCAATATAGATAGCAAATGATGGATTAGATACGCACTGGAGGTGTTTAAGCTCTGCTATAAGACGTTCCAGTTTGAGCTCAACGAGATCCAGGGGAAAATTGGTCCAGTTGATCTTCAAAAGGTAAGATACCACAAGACCCATTCCGAGTTTTCCCTGGCGAATATGGTGAAGGCGGCCACCAGGATCACGACAATCCTCCCCAAACAATGCATCAAACCGGCGGTTGAAGGTTTCATGCGGCGGAACATCACCTTCCTTTGTATTCATAACAAACCATATTTTATCATCTTTCGATCCTCTGGGTACAGCGTCCGACAAAGAGTTAGAGAGAGAGCTGATATCCTTGACAAGTTGTTTGACTGTGTTGGGAGTGGACATTTTGGACAAAGAAGGGGGAGGAGCGCAAGTTGACGACGCAAAGATGAGCATTGGGCACATTGACATATAGGCCACAATGACTTACATTGTACATGAACTTGAGCAAAAAGGAAGGTTGAGAGGGAAGCGCAGATACGACGATGAAAAATGACAGGAAACGACGGTGTGTCCATGCAAAGTTGATAGATTAAAGTTCGATAATTACCCCCAAAAAAAGGTCAAAGCCGCGGCTTGACGGCCCGGCTTTGGCTTTTCAAATCATAGGCCGGGCCAAAGCCGTCACGAAGCCGTCACTTTGGCCCGGCTCGGCCCGGCCTATTTCGGCCTGGCTTGGCCCGGCTCACGGCCTGAAGCCGGGCCGGGCACAACCCTAACTCCAATACTCCCCCTCAACATCTGACATGTGGTAGGTAAAAAGGAAGGAAGAAATGGGTATATAAACAAGAAAGAAACAGATAATGAAAGGATGTGAGTGAGACAGTGTAGTACCAATAGTTTGTTGTTGGGGAGCATTGTGCTTGATTGAAGAGAAAAATGAGCGGCAAGGAATGCGCGTGCACGTAATTGCCGCGACGCGACGAATCACGTGTGCGCATACACGACCACGATGTCGCGTGTCCGCTTTCGTTGACCTCGACCACCGCCAATGGCTTTCATCAGCCCAGAAGATCGCGCATACATGTCACCCTCGTCTTCTCCAGGTGGCTCTCCCTCTGCTTCATCCTTTGTCGACTCCTCTCCCCTCGCCTCTCCTTCCTCACTGCCCCTCGACCTCGATCGACCACCGACGCCACTAGGCATAACCCATCCCTTTGCCGGCTCTACCCATGCTATATCACATCCCTCAAATGAGCTTCGCTATTCAAATCCTTCATATGCCCCGGCCACCTGGGCTTACAGACCAGACTTCACGTCCTCAGCCGATCACGCCAAAGTGCTCGAAAGTCTCTTTGACGAAGAGGAGGGGTATTCGACTTCGAGTTTTGATCCAGAGCCTCCAGACGAGGCCACGCTATGGGAAGAGAAAATCACGCGAGCAGTCGACACGGGTGATGCCGAGTTTACCTGGAAGTATGTGTCATCATCTCGTTCCCTCCCTCCCAATATTCACCCAGTCCGCAAGGGATGCGGGCCTTACTTTTGTGCCCCCATCAATCGTAGAACTCAACAGCCTCGGTGTCATAGCTCAGTTCGCTCTTCGCCCCTTCAAGCGCGTACAGACCGCGCCCCCAGCAGTCTTCTCATCGACACATCGCTCATTCTTTGCCCCACGCGCTGTCCCTGCCCGCACTCGATCCCAGGGCCTCATGATTTTTTTGGCGAACAATGAGATCAGGGCCCTGCCTCCAGAATTTTTCAAGTTGAGCAATCTGACGGTTCTCTCTCTTCGTGCGCACCTGCTTGGCTTTCTTTGTCCGTTTCATATACTGAGATCCTGAGGGCAGGGAACAACACCCTCGACTATCTTCCCCCAGAAATTGCACAGTTAGAGGCGCTCAAAGACCTTGACGTAGTCAATAACAATTTGCATTTCCTCCCGGCTGAGATGACCAATATGACCCTCACGAACCTCAACGTGCATACGAACCCATGGTACCCAGACCCTGCCAAAATGACACCACAAGCCGTGGACGGTACCATGCTTGTGCACTTTCGTGTACCGCCACTGCGCGAAGTAGTCCTGCGCTATCTCCTCACACCCTCAGCAGGTCAACAGCACCTTCCAGCGCCGACGCAGCCGACGTTAACAATGACGACGGTTAGCACCCGACAACCTACGATGCTCGAAGACTGCTTCCAGCTTCCGCTGCAGGAAGGGACGCTCACCCCCGCTGACGCCGCACTCATTGCGCACCTAGCACCCTCCGCGGTCTCCGCCCCGCCACGGCACGCCTTTTCGCGCGCCACAACCTCGGGCCCAAGCGAGGGCCTGTTCTCCTCTTCCAGGATGTCCAAGTCAGAACGGCAGCAGTGCTCGACTCGTCGCCGCGAGGGCGCGGACGGTGCAACAACTGCGACGGCAACACATGAGGAGCAACACCAACAGAAGAGCTCTGGTCGCTGTCCGTCCCCGCGGCACTGCTATGCTGCACCAGGGGCGTCGCCATGGCCGTGGGCTCGACTCGGACCGCCCTTCGTCTTGCCCGCAGAGGAGCGGTACACGTGGGTGAGCGAGCTCGCGGGCGTGCGCGTTGGCGAGTCAACGGGCGGGGTACCGATCTTGTGGCGCGGATGCGGACGAGGGTGTTTGCAGTTTTTGGGCCAACGCGACACTGCCGTCGGTGATGCGGGAGTACTACAAGATGACGGCGATTGTCGCAAGCACGATGGTGACGAAATCATGCGCACGGAAGACTGAGCGTTGCCATGATCCTCATGAGCTGTGCATATTGTACTTAACAAAGTAATCACCCAGGCCCAGGCTATTGTATTGTAGATAAAACACCTACTGTTGATCAGGAGGGGATGTTCGGCCAGGTGATTACTACCAAGGTAGGCTAGGAAAGGTTCAACCAGCAAGGGAAGAAAAAAAAAAGAACATATGCCAACTAGCCGGTTTGAACGACTGACCTCGTCATGTAAATCATGTGTATGTATGTACACATGGCCATACAAGTGACGCGCTCTACCACTGAGCTAAGCAGGCTTCACCTGTCAGATGATTTGCTGAGATCATAGACCGGATGAACGAGATACACATATTTTTTCGCTCAAAGCGAGAGAGACCGCGTGATAAAGAAAAAAAGAAAAGAAAAGCAAAACGCGCACCGGGTTCGTGATTCCACTGAATTGTTCTAGTGGCCATTTTGATCATGGTCTGGCGTTGACCCCATGGGCGGCGTTGACCGGTCTTTGACGTCCAGAGAGGGTGGGGTGGAGGAGATGGCGGAGGACAGGAATGCGCGGTGCAACGCGGCGGCGAAAAGAATTTTTTCACCACTTAGCAAGGTACTTCGGTAATCGCACCCCGTCATAAGAAGAACCCCCACCTTTTGATGCGCGATCCTGACCATGCCACGTGAAAAGTGGTGAGAACGGGCGAAGAGAAGCGAAGGAAAGGGAAAAAAAGAAGAGGCCCCAAAAAAAGGAGCCGCCCTTGCGTCTTGAGCGGCATTCGGAAGGATGAGGGAGAAGCCCAGCTCTTCAAGTTGTTCGCTGGTGTCAACCGACCGGCGACCCAATTGAAAGACACAATTGAAGCACTAAATTGCATCACTTTTGTGCTTGCGGTGCCACAGCTCAATCCAAGGTTGGTCCACCAAAAGTTCTTCAATCATGTGTCGGAAAAATTGGGAGGGTGATTATAATGGATTTTATTGCATTATATAATAATAATATAATGCAATAAAATCCATTATAATCACCCTCCCAATTTCCGACATGTTTGGTTTTTTCTTTTTTTGCTTCAATATTTGACACGTCAACATCATGATCCAATTGTTCGTCGATGGAATACATGGCTACATGTTTTCCCCCCCTCCGTGGAGTCAAATAGAACCATGCACTTCTCGTATGTGGTTCCTTTTGGCATCTCCATTCTCCACATCGGCGGACCCGATGTTTCGCGCCGTCTCGTTCATTTATGTCCACCTTCCAAGTGTTGGACATTCGAGAGGATAGACATGACAAATTTCGGATGTGCAGGTTCTCGCACATTCATTCGACGAGATACAGCCAGCATGACTACAGCATTTGGACAAGAGGTATGGGAGCGCCAGGTTTGGGGCCAAACTAGCTATTATTGTCGTTTTCAGATAACGTGACGCGCCGGAAATTTCCGAAAAGAAAAGGGTTGGTAGAAAGAACTTGATGTATCTCGCCGAATTCTACGCAAAAAATCATAAAAAATAGCCCATTGGAACCGGAATGAAAACTAGCTTCTAAATGGAGGGTACCGAGAATGAAAAATAGAAATGTCGGAGATGTCAAAATTAGTATGTGGTGTGGTGTGTCCAGGGACGCGCGGGTGAGTAAGTAAGAGTGAAACAATTGGACCAAGGAAGTGAGCATTGACCAGGGACCTAGATGAGTCGAAACAAGAACCACTAGGCGCAACTCCGAGGAAATGGGTCGAGGGTCCATCCAAAGAGGGCTTTCGAGACGCGGGGCAGTCAGATTAGGAGAGGACACAATACACACAGATCGCATTTTTCATGCTAGGTATTTATACTAAAAGGAATCGTCAACATTCTGGAAGAGAAGTGGGGAGAAGAGGCGAAAGAGGGAGACATGGGACGAGACATGTATGGGATTCTTCTATTCCAGAGAGTAACTAAACAGTTTATATACAGGAGGGAGGAGAGAGGAAATAGGGAAACATGTGTAGTGACATCAGTAAGAGACTAAACGAGATGTGGCAAGACTGCGTGAAAGGCATTTGGCACGCGTGATTCCGTAGCCAACCGATTGCCTACCTTACACCTCCCGGGGGCTTGAAATTTTGACCATCCTCGGTCAAAGCGTCTTGAGCAAGTCTTCGACCTTGCGCGCGCGTGGTCTCGTCATCGCAAAGGGGGTGGGCATTGCAGCAAGGCAGGATGGGGCGGGGGGCGTGCTTGCGGTGTGTGCGTCATGTCGAATGTGTCGTCTGAGTCGTTGTGTGCAGTGATGCTGGTGTCGTTGTGTCCTGGAATGCGGGCGCGGTGTGGCGAAGCAGGAGGGGGCGTGGCGTGGTTGCGGCGTGTCATATGTGTCGTCGCGACGTGGTGCTGCTGGTGTCGTCCAAGTTGTTGCCATTGCCGTTGTTTTTGCTGCTGCTGTTGTTGTTGCGGAGGCAAGCGGCGAGCCCAGCTTGTGTGACTGTCGCGCTGACGTCTTCCGGCCGTGGCGTCAAGGTCTTCTCCATAGCAGGTGGCGGTAGGACGTGAGGACGATAGTGCGCAAGTGGGAGACGAGACAAGAGGGGGCGGACGGCGCGGTTCGCCTTGCAAACGCTTGCCGTAGTCGTTGAGCTAGAGTGTGTGGGGTCAGCGTCCAAAAACCGAAAACAAGATGTGAAGGGTCTCTGGTAATCATCCCGCGGCCACGGTGACAAGGTCTTCGCCACTGCAGGTGATGGCAGCATGCGGGGGTGAGGGCGTACGTGTGAGCGGGGATGCGATGGAAGGGGAGGCGTGGTGCGATGTGGTGCTTGCGTCGACGGCTTCTCCTGTGGCGACGTCATGATGGCGGCTGTTGATCTTTCTGCGGGGCGGCGTTGCTGAGCTTGGGTTCAAGGCCTTCTTGAACTTCTTGGGCGATGCTGGTGGCGTGAGGCGACGGCAGTGCGTCGTTGCTGGTGTCGTGCGTGACTGAAACTTTAGCGCTAGGCGTGACATCGACTGAGATTGAGGATGAAACCAAGAGGGCGACGGACTGAGCTGAGGCGACGGCGGCAGATAACACTAGAGCTGGGGCGGCGACAGGAGACGTTGGGGCAGTGGTGGCACCTGGCGATTGAAGTGATACGGCGGGCCAGGCTGAGGCAGCGGACAGGGCAGAGACGGCGGCGGCTGGCGATGCTGGCGATACGGCGGACTGGGCTGAACTGATGGCTGATGGGGCAGGGAAGGCAGCTGGCATTGTGGGCGGCGTGAGAACTGGTGAGGAGACAACTGAGGCAGGTGAAGGTGAGGCCATGTGAGACGTGATGGAGCCGGCACCGGCGGCGGTTGAGACGACGGTGGTGGAAACTAAGATAGGAAAACTGGCTGGCAATACGGATGCCACGGTGGATGGGGCGTGTACAGCAACAACGGAGACGGCTGGCGATGAGACTACTGAGGTGGCAGCGGGCGGTGCTGTACTGACGATGGCGGGCAAGGCTAAGACGGAGGCTGCTGATGATATTGGGACTGAGGTGGTGGCGACGGATGCGGATGAGTGTGGGGCGGTGGCGACTGAATTGCATGCGATGGTGTGTGAGCGCGGGGGTGAGGCAGCGGCTGTGACAATCGTGGGCGAAGCAGGGACGGGGTCAGGCAGGACTGAAGGTGCGGGGGCGACGGCTTGCATGGCAGAGATGGCGAAAGGGGTGGCAGGGATGACGGGAGCAGGAGTGGGCGATGTGGAGGTGATGGGGGGCGAATGGTATGTGAAGTCTGATCGCGAGTCGTCTTCATCGCGAGCCCACATTCGAGCCACAATTTGCTGCACTTCGAGGGAGACCTTTTGGGTTCTTGCCATCAGAGAGGAAGCAGGGAACAAAGTGCTAGAGGCCTACATCATTCCCACAACTGTGACCGTGCCTACCCGACATGGGCATGTCCGAAATTCAATGTATCTGTTCTCGGAACAGAATGTTTAGAAAGTACATTTTATTCCGGTTCGAATGGGCTATGATTTATGATTTTTTGCTTAGAATTCGGCGAGATACATCAAGTTCTTTCTACCAACCCTTTTCTTTTCGAAAATTTCCGGCGCGTCACGTTATCTGAAAACGACAATAATTAAGGGGAAAAGAAAGCAATCATCCGACCCGACTGAATCGAACACACGACCATAAATACCAATGCCGCGCTCTACCACTGAGCTGGGGTCGATTTACCTCACACTCCGGGCATTTTACAATGTATTCTAATCCAGTTGTCCAACGAGATTGCAGCGTTGCAGCATTTAGCCGACAATTGAAAAATGCCCGCAGCGAGCTATCAGGGGATTTTGCTCATAGACAGATAAACGAGATGCGCATCCTATATTTCGACTGTTGTCGCCACTCCGCGTCGTAATGTAATCGAACCTCGTGTTCCTTCCTCTTCGTCAACCGACCAGCGCGTCACTTTTGTGTTTGCAGTGCCACGGCTGCATTTAAGTTGCCCAAAAGTTCTCCAACCACGATTTCTTTCTTTCTTTTGCTCCGATGTTGACACGCCAATGGAATGCGCAACTACATGTCTTTACCCCCGGAATCAAACCAAACGGTTTCGTAGCGTGATGTATCACTTGTAGGGACGCTATGTAAACAATTGGGTGATTTCCGTTGCGTTGGCAGAGTGTAGAATGGCATCCATACGCCATGTTAGGGCTGCGCTGTACGTCCGAAACCGTGAGTTCGAAGCCCAGGTTGGGCTGGCGAGGGGTCTGTCTGGGGCACTGATGATGCCATCGCCACTTGGAGAAAGGGGCAGTAACATTGGATTCGGATAGTGTAAGAATGGACGAGTCCCCAAGTGCTTGTGAGCAGAGAAGTGAGAACGATAGAACAACTACGGACAGGAGATTCCTACAGGGTTCTTCTGGTGCTTTTCTTATAAGCAAGGGTCATCAATACTTGGATCATATCACGGTCCCCATGAACACGCCTTTGCCTCCCTTCGAGCCCCCACAGCGCCCCCATCAGGACATCGGCCCCCGGTAACAGATGATCTAAACTGCGCGTTTGGTGTGCCTTGGTGCCCAACGTTCTGTTGAAGCTGAAGGATTATTGCTATGTACAGCTTTAGAGGGAATGACTGGGGAAAACGAACGACGACTAATATTGTACATGTACGGTCCGGCTTTGTCCGTTACTGCACGTCCACGTCCAACCACGCCCCCTCAGCCCTGGTGGTGTGCGTTCAACACGTTCGTGGCTGTGCCTGCCTATGTGCCTAAAAACATGGACACGCTCCTTTCCTCGTCGCTGCCATCATGAACTCTGACTCGTACGTCGCGGCCCATCTCTGGCTTGGTCACGAAACTATCTTGGGGACTGACCCATTTTCTCTTTCTGTGACTCCGCGTCCCACAGCGGTCTGTTCTCAAAATTACGGCCCGCCGTCGTCAACTGGACGGACACGCTCAAGTCGTCGATTCGCCCTCAAGTCAGCTTTCCGAACGCACCCAGCCTGACCACGGCCAGGCCATCGGTTGAAGGCCATCAAGGTGAGTGGCTGACACTGGGCAGGCCTGCCCCGCTCGCGCCGAGCGCTGATTCGTCTGGAAGATGCAGGCTCTCGTCGCCGGGCGATTATCGAGACACTCCGCAAACTCCTTGAAGATAGCCCTCCTCGCCAGACTCCGGTCGGATCGTCCGTCCAACTGGGCCAAGGCAAGTATTACACCGGAAGATACATCCGCCTCCCTGATTCCGACGCTGCTGCAGACCCACCTTCCGGAACGCCGATTATTCAGCCACCCTTCCCCAACGGCGTTCTCCCTCTCCAGAGTACAATCGACACCTTGGTCCAAGGCCACCGCGAGCGCAAGCAGAATGTCTTTCTTGCTCCAATTCCTCATTTGAACCGTACAGGCCCCCCTCACCGACAGGTGGCCATTGAAGCAATTCCCTATGATGTACTCTTGCGAATATTTTATCTCTATATCGACGACGCTGAAGACCCGGATACGTGGCACACCCTAGTACACGTGTGCCAAATATGGAGAAATCTCGTGTTTGCATCACCACATCACCTGCGCTTGCAACTCCTTTGCACAAATACAACACGAACAAGGGACATGTTGGGTATCTGGCCATTACTACCTATCATCATATCGAACACCGGCGACTCTGGCTCGTTAATGGAAGGTGCCGATAACATCATTGCCGCACTCGAGCAGCGAGACCGTATAAGAGCAATCCACCTGCGGGATGTTCCGTGTTCCCTACTGGACACATTCGCGCCATTGATGCACGAGCCATTCCCTCTGCTGACATCTCTGCTAATTCGGTCATATCGTGAGTGGGTTCCGGTCCCTCCCGATTTGTCACTGTGTGGGTCTACCCCACGTCTTCGAAGACTCTTGTTGGATCATATCCCACTCGCTGCAGTACAGAAACTACTTTTGTCTGCAAATGACCTTGTCTCTCTCGCCCTTTGCAATATCCCAAGCTCCGGGCACATTCCACCGATGGTGATGGTCAATTGCCTATCTAGGATGACCAGGCTCGAATCACTTCGACTTGAGCTCAACTCCTCTCCATCTCGTTTTGATCAAACAAGTAGAGTTCCACCCCCGCTGACACGCACGGTTCTCCCTGCTCTTGTCTACCTGAAATGCAAAGGGCCAAGCCAGTACCTGGAAGGACGTCATCGCGCGGATCGATGTCCCTTTACTGAGGAACGTCCAGATAACATTCTTTAATCAACTGATCTTTGATATTCCCCAGCTTTTCCAGTTGATCTGTCGCTGCGAGAAGCTGAGAGAACTCCATCGAGCAAATATACTTTTTTCCAAATATTTCGTCCAGCTGGAACTTTTCCCACAGGGAGAACTGACTGATATTGAGCTCTCCTTGATAATCTCGTGTTATATGCCAGATTGGCAACTTTCTTCTCTGGCACAGGTCTGTAGCTCGATCCTACCTTGCCTTTCCTCTCTGGAACATATCGCCGTCCGCGAGGACCTTTATGATGCATCACTCTGGGGGGCTGACATTGAGGATATCCAATGGCTAGACCTTTTACGCACCTTTACCACTGTCAAGAATCTGTTCCTGACCGAGGAAATTGGACCACAAATCGCATCCGCCTTGGGGGAGCTAACTGGGGCAGGAGTGACAGAAGTATTACCTGCCCTGCAGTCTCTCTTCTTGGAGAATTCCCTGCGATCGGGATCGTTCAAGGAAGCGATGAGGCCGTTCATCAACGCGCGGCGGCACTGCGGTCGCCCCGTCAATATCAACAATTGGCTAGATTACGGCCCAAGCTATTGGTTAAATTCCACCACCATTGATGACCGTATGGATTTAGAAACATCAGGTAAGCCCAGCTAGGCCACGCGTTCCCTTCAGAATGTCATTCTCACGACCCGTACCCTCGAACAGCGTTGCTCCCAGCTTCGCTCCCGGATTCAATAGATCTCGCACGCGACCGGCTGTCCCACAAACTCTGAGGTGGCGACCAGCGAATTATCCTTCCGGAAGCCGGGCCAGGGTGGAGACGGGATGTCCCATCGTGCCACGTTTGGTTCACGATCACCGCTTTCCGTACATTGTCCTTACACTTGTAGCAGCGCGGGAGCGTATGATCGCTCGATCACCTCTCACCCTTCCGTACTAACGGTACTAGTGATCCCCATTTGATCGTCGTTCTGCTCCTGGTTCTGGTTCTGGAACCATAAGCACCATTTCGTTGTACTGCTCGGTCCGCGGTCACTAGAGTCACGGTCGCGCGCTCCGAGCCATTCCTCGAACGAATGCAAATACGCTGTTCCCGCGCGGTACCTGCAAAAAGATAGCCGCGGGGAGGGGGACCAGAGCCGGATTGGGGCCTGGGGGCTGAGGAGCGCCAGAAAAGATGACGCGGAGAAGGGGTCTCGCGTCCACCCCTCTTTGGCGGCGGGCAGCGCGATATGAGGATGGGTGCTTTGTCGGTACACGTACCGCGAGGAGGACGATGTGGATGGAGGGGCCTCCGAGTGGGCGCACTGCAACCGAACGCGCGAACCGCGAGTGCACGCCAGTGGGAAGAGATTTGCGGGGGCTCCTGCGTGTGAACGCTTCAGGAAAGACATAGGAAGGATCGTCATCCTGGATCGCATCCAGATATCGCGCGTATGGGGATATCTCTGGCTGGAGGGCCACTTCGGCGTTTAAAATTTACCGGAGATGAAGCTGGCCAGGAGCCCTAGCGATCGATGTCTGGGCCAAGGATAAGAAATAAAAGGGGCGCTGATCGTTCAGGTCATTTTCCGCATGGAAGCCGTAGTGTCTGTACCACAGCTGAGGCTGGGGGTGCGCAGTAGTCATCCACATCCATACAGCTGTAAACCCGCTCGCCGGATCCCTGTCCGTGGGTTGGAAATCAGGACTGGCGGTTGCCGAGACTCGGACGCTCCCGAGTCGAGTCACGGTCAGAGCGTCAGGAGCCATGATGGAAAATGCCCAAGTATCAGCTCTCTGGAGATGGCGTTGTTCGGTGACTTGAAAGGAGTTTCCGAAGCAAGCTTCCCCCAAGTCCCGAAGACCTGCCCAGGTCCATGTGCCATACTTCTTGCGATCTGCAATCCGGGTCCAGGCCCGCTCAAACATCACATCATCACCAGCAATCGGAAGCAATGGCCGAGGGGCCGACTGCCCATGTGGGTTGCCAGTACTAGCTAGTACACCAGTACCAGCATCACGCGCTATGTTCATAGCGCGCGACTGCGATCTTGCGCCCGCTGCAGGATGTGAGCGCGCGTGGGCGTGGGCGTGGCAGGGCACGGTACCGGATTACCGTTACCGTACGGAGCAAAGCAAGGGAAGGGCGCGCGACTCGGGCGCGGACGGGGACAGTGCCAAGCCAAGAAAGATATTATCGATCGCGCTCGGCGGTGTGCCAGCGTCAAAACTGAACTGACTTACCAATCCACGCCCCTTCATGCCCTTTTGGGACTGTCTGTCTCATGACGTCGACCCCTTTCGGTACCGTCCACACAAAAAACACGGAACGCAAACAGTGATTCTTACTCAAATGGGGAGACATATAACAATGATCTGATGTTATCCTCAACATCAACGCACGTCCAAGTAGCTACCAATCACCGCCATAATCCTGACCGTCTACAAAGCCTAGAGCGCCCCGCACGACCAGATCAGTGGACTGGGGTTGTAAACTCAACTGACCTTGGTCATATGCGT